ATAAAAAAATATACAGTAAAATATATATATATATATATATATATATATATATATATATTTTTGCAAACTAGAATTTCTGTTATCGTTACCACATTATGTCACCTTCGAACTCTAGACATTATCTTTTGTCCATCTGCAGCTTATTTTTACCTCTTTTGATACATCATTAGCATCACAACGTAACAGGAGTCAGACTGTGAATTTGAAGGGAAAAGAAATACAGGTTCTGTCCGGACATGCTTTTATGTTTCCAAAAGTGCTGGCAGATGATTTTGATCCTGAAGGACTTTTTAATCTGCCACAAACAGTCTGAGAGTGTCCCTCGGTCAATATCATCCTGCCAACACTCTCACACATAAACCATTACTTCACTTTGAAGAAAAGAAGTTAAGAGAGCAAAAGCAAACAAGGGAAGGAGAGAGAGAACTGAGGAGGAGGATGGCAACGCACAGATGAAGAGCAGTGGGGGGGCACAGTTTACCAAAGCAGCTTAGAATCAGCCAATCACAGTGAAGGAGAACATCAGCTGGTGCGTTTCTTCCCCACACGAGGAAGAAAGAATGAAAGGCGAGGAGGGCAAGTGCATATGAAAGCTGTGGAAATAAATACAAGTCTGTCTCCCCAGCAGTAACAGATATGTGAGTTTCCCCTCTTCCTCTTCAGCTGACTTCTTCACAATGCAACCTCGTCCAGTGTGAGTGTGCATGTATGCGTGCATATGTCGGGTGTGTCAAATAAATAGATTAAAAAAGGGAGACAGTAGGTCTGACTGGCCAGGAGTTCGGTCTGTGTGTGTGCACGCATCTTTTGCGTATGAGAGTCCGACTGAGAGTGAGGTCAAAACTGGAGGGCGAGCGGCGTGTGTCTACATGTCTGTTGAGGTGAGTTTCTTCATGCTGCGTCTCTGGGCTAGACTGGATGCTGCCACGGGCTCCAACACTGGCTGACTTGTCTTCTGGCTCAGTGCTGAATAGGTGGCAGCCATTGCTCCCTGGAAAACAACAAAATAAACACTTGGCTTCAACTTTTAAATCGATATAGAACTTTAACTCTGAAGTAATTCTATTACCACTTTGTCGGTGTGTTGTAGGCCATTTGGCTAAGGCCAGGTCCAGCACAGAAGTGTGTATTCCCTCCTCAAGAGACTGAACAGTCAGTTTTTTGCTACTAAACAAGTACTGAATTTGTGCTCATTTCACCATGATAACTCCTCTAATTTGGAAAAACATCAACTTCAGCTCAAAACCCCCAGGGTTCCCACTCTTTTTAAAGAAATCATTTTCCAGGACATTTAAAGGGTTTAAAATGTTTTTTCCGTTTCAGTTCACATGTGGTTAAACCCCTGTGAAGTGTCACACTGCACAGCTACCAACTGAGTTTCAAACTAAACATGCACTCAGGTTTATGTAGGGATTCTGAGTGAGGGGCTAACATACAATAAACATTTCTTTAGGACAACATAGATTATTTCCAGGATATTTGCTAATTTTAATCAATTTCCAGGTTTTTTCATGTCTGTAAAACTAGTCTCTAATTTTCCAGACTTTCCCAGTTTTCCAGGATGCATGGGAACACTGAATTCCATTCAACTTTTAGATTCTGGGTGAGTTATGCTAACATCTTATTCAACCCTGTATTACACTACATTTGTTTGATTACCTAAAACCACCCACGTATAAAGAGATGAATCAGAAACACGTCATACATGATCTGAACATTTACAGAATGAAGCAGCACTACAGCCTAACAACAAGTGCAGATACATTTTAAAAAGGAGAATCAATTATTGCATCATTGAAATGATGTTGCAGGCAGACATGGTGACAGGTTCAGTTACAATGACACATGCTTGGGTGATCTCAACTTCATCTTTTATCCCCCTCTCCCTGAACTCTCGCTCCCCTCATTACTTGTCAACTCTCTACTGTCACTGTCATTATAAAAGGCAAACGTGCCGAAAAAACTACAACAAACACATGCTTTATGTAGTTAAACATTGTGTGAGTGTGTATTGCCACTGTGTTTGTGCAGTAGCCCTGACAGGAAAGGTGCCTAACTGATGTGAGTTTAAGGAAGGGACTTTGTTGAGGCTAACACAGAGGCCACAGGTGTGGAAATAACACCTCTTTGATGGCTGTGATATCCAGCAATTCATCAGACCTTCAATCACATGTGCAAGAGAGGAGAAGTGCAAGAATGGAGCACTGAAAGATGTGGGGTTTATGACTATGAACAGGATGACGAGTCTACAGTCAGCAACACCACAATTCAGACTGAAAAATAACACATGGTCACTGTTAAAAGCAAAATGTATTTTTGGCCAGCATGAATGTATTGAACCATCCTACCTGTTGATTAATTGTCTGGTCTGTGCGGTGTGCAGGGTGTTACTGACGGCATGAAATCTGTATCTCTCAAATAAACCTATTAATAGAGCGCTGTCAAAACTGAAAAAAAAAAAATGTTTGCCTTGAAAAATCGAGAAACTTCTGGAAGTAAGACATTAATCTGTCTTGTCTGCTTATCTGTTGCAAGAATAAGCACCTATATACACACACACACACACACACAAAACATGCACTGGCAAAGAGCTATGATGGCACCAAGGAAGGGTTTGAGAGTGAACTGCACTGTCTGTTGTTATGGCGGTGAAGAGAGGACTGCGTTACAAGGCGAAGCTCTCAATTTACTGCTGATCTTTGTTCAGACCCTCACCTATGATGACAGGCTTTGTGTTGTATCTGAAACAACAGTATCACAGATTCGTGTACAGGGTGGCTGGCCTATCTCTGCTCTCTCTCTGTTTGGGTGAAGAGTTCAGCATTGTCAGAGTGCTTCTATATACAGCCGCTGCTCCCTGAGATTAAGAGAAGTCGACATAGGTGGTTCACGCACTTGGTAAGGATGCTGCCCAGACAGCCTCTCTCCGTAGGGGGTGTAAGAACAACTGATCCTGCACGGGGAGATGAGGGATGTTTGCTCTGTTTGTTATCTACTCTTTCTTATCCCATCCATCCTAAACTTCACCATTCACCATTTTCAAAGTGAACAAGGCAACATCCTTTTTTGTTGTCGGTCACCTAGCAACAGCGTTTTCTTGACTTAAACCACTTGAGTGCCAAATGTATTGTGTACGAGACTACTCCTGTCAAAAATACAACTTGATGAGTTGCATTTTAAAGAGGCATGTGACCTGGATATGTGGCAAGACAAGATAGAAGGATGGACACATCTGCTCTGTTGTAACTGGTATTAGTAATACATGAGAGCAGAAGCGTATAATTCACCAAGTATCAGGCTCACTTTTATATGTCAAGAGGCACAGGCACTGCCAGAGTATGATATCCTGAGTTCAGACCCTCTTCTAAGTTGGAGAGATGATGCGGTTCCATTTTTAGACACACTGAGCAAAGTGGCATTAACCATAAAGGCCAACACACGTGACAACATGTAACCCATCATTAGCAAATGGTTTCAAAACATTTGATCGCTGTCTTACACAAAGCATAAGCACCTGTGGCAACAAGGTCCTGTGTCTTTGTCTGTCTGTTGATTAAGAGGATAAACACTCACCTTGACGAGGTGTGGTGCATCATGGCGTGTGAGCTGGAAGTGTGGTAGCGTATCTCTGCAGGTGATCCAGGAATGCTTAAGAACCTGCTCTGCTGTGTATCGCTGGTGAGGGTCCACATGGAGCATATGGGACAGCAGGTCCTGGAACACAAAACAACATCCAGTCTTAAATGTGTATGAGGAAAGAACAGAATTTGAAGTTGTCTTTATTTAAGGAAGAACAATGCAAGTCCATTATATAAATCATCTGCAGTCCCTGGCAGGTTGGTGGCATATATAAGCATATATAACGTATAAAGTGTGTTTCCTTACTGTGAATTTATTGTATGAATGTTTATTTAATTATTATTAATATGATTTATGTAGGGAAAATAAAGTTTGCTGATGCTATTGTGTTGACCTTTAATTCACAATTCAACATGGATCATTTTTAAATGAGATTTTCTTCCCCCACAACAATGATTAATAAAAGTTGTGGGGTGTGGGGCATTACACTTTTTGGCCTCTGAAGGTGGGCATGCCAGAAATAGTTGGACAATGACTGCTTTAAGCACACGTAATAAAAAGATGCTGTCATCTGTTCAGTTTCACAAAACAGTCACATTTTATTCCTGCTTCCTGAATCACTGAATGAAACAGATAAACCTAAATAGATTGAAATCTAACGATTACAGCATAATTAAAAGAAGTCCATCCAGTTTATGTAGCTCTTTTCAAAAACGAGTACACTAAGTGCTTTCCAGACATGCGTATGAACAGAAATAAGATTCATTCATTATTAGTCTTTGGAAATGCTTTAAAGTTACACCACCAGTGTGAAGCAGTGTTGTTTGTACCTTTGAGGTGTCTGATACAGTATCCCAGTTGCCCCCTGTCAAGGAGAACTTTCCAGATCCTATCCGAAGTAGAATCTCCTCTGGTGTGTCGTTTGGCCCATTAGCAAACGGCGTGTACCTGACAGGGTTAAAAGCAGAGATTATCTAAAAAAAAAAAAAAAAAAAAACTAGGACTAGGTGTCAGCATAAACTCAATATTAAATTACTCAGATCGGGCTCTAAAAAAAAACTTGACATTCCTATAAAAGTTTAACCCACTGCTCCAAAATGTGCACACACAATTTCCATGATTACACCAACAGCACAAGCAAAGTAAGTGACAAGAGCACTGATGTACAGCCGCTTTTTTGAGCTCCCTCTTTACAAGGCATTAGACTGGTTGAGTAATTTGGAAACTTCACGCTTCACTGTTAATCATTCCCACCCACATTTAGGCAAAGTTTGTCCAACAGTTGTTGCTGAGTGCAGTCTTACCCTGCCAGCATGGTATACAGTAGAACTCCAAGACTCCATATATCACAAGCTGCATCATAACCTTGCCGCATTAGTACCTGAATCAACACAAAGAAAGAAATACAAACCATCAGGGACTCATACTGACAATGTGAATAAAAACTTTTCTGTACATTATACTCTTCACTCTCTTCACTTTACATTCCCTCTAGCATTCGTTCTCTTTATGCTTCTATCATTCCTCCTCTCTCACCTCTGGTGCCACAAAGTTGGCGGTGTAACAGGGGGTGAGGAGGAGGCCGTTGCCTCCCCGAAGCTGCTTGGCAAATCCAAAGTCACAGATCCTGATGGAGTCAGGATTTCCCGAGTCATCCATGTATAGGATGTTACTGGGCTTCAGGTCTCGGTGTACCACCTGGAGAGGAGGAGAATGAAACGTTAGAGAAGAAGACGTTTACTTTTCACTCCTGCTTATATGTGTGCAGAATCATCTTCTTACCCCTTGGCAATGGAGGTAGTCAACAGTCTTGGTGATGGTGTAGAGCACAGCACTGGCCTCTCTCTCAGAGAAAAACTTCTGCCTAAGGATCTTATCCAGCAGCTCCCCGCCCTTCATCAGCTCCGTCACCAGGTATACATACCGGCCCTCGTCATACACCTGACACATGCACACACGTAGGCACAGAGAGACAGCCTGTCAATATGGTGATTGACCACCCTAAGAATAGTACTGTCAAACAAATTCTACATACGTCTTTCAGAGTGATGATATTGGGATGCTGCCCGTATCGCATCAGGATTTCAATCTCTTCAGAGGGGTCCCTCTTAATTTTGTCTATAATCTGAGACACATGGAAACACAGATATGAGCAGTTGCAAATTAATGGCTGAAAAATCTCTCTGCTGTGTAATTTACAGCATTTAATAACCCAACAAGACGAGATATCTAAATAACAAAGCATTGCTTTAAAGTGTTATGAAGTTGTTGCAATATGGCTAAAGCTGTGCTGCCCTCTACTGGACTCTTGGCTACACTAACCACAGTCAACATGATTCATTTTAAGAGATTTCATACACTTTTATGAACCCACACTCTAGAGACACCAATATATTGGTAGAAAATTGTGCATCCACACTACAGTCATCTAATTTAGTTACCCAAGAATTTAAAACAGCTGTGTTGATCAAATAAAGACTTTAAATTGGCTTAAAACACAGTAAGATGGATGATAGGTTCTTTTTTACTTTAATAAAATTCAGACTAAATGTACCCCAGAGATGCTAACCGTGAGAGAAACTGTCACAAAGTCACAGCCTTAATTCAACTACTGATATTGAACATGTCGGATAATCATTTTGCACTTTAAATGTGGTGCATCGGTGGTCTGAAGGTTAGAAAAGCAGGATCCTTACTGAAAGGTCACCAGTTTAATTCTGGAAGAGGAAGAGCGTGATAAATCTTGTCTTGTCCTTAATTTGAGATGGCTAACATGCCAACTAGGGACTGGTGCATTTTTGGATTAAAAAAAAAAAAAAACTACCTTCACAGCATAGTCCATGGCAGAGACTCGGTGTACACAGCGTTTACAAATGGAGTAGGAGCCGACCCCTATGTCCTCCTGCAACTCGTACAGATCAGAGAACTTGGCTGAGCCCCCGTGCATCTGGAAAGAACAAGATTGGAACTGTTACATTACATTCTTTAACATTCACTGAATAAATTAAAACCCAAGCTAACCTTCACAAGCCATGTCTAGACACTGAATGTGACAACTCATAAACCACCGCAATAAAGTCACTACAGTCACTGTTGGTCCATACAAGACAACAAATGTGTGCTGTAGTTCAGACTGTCGCTGTCTGTTGTGTGCTCCCACCCCACCACCCATTCATTTTAACACTTTTGTTCACAAATATGCCAGAGTGGCACATTAGTGGTAATGTTATTACGTATTCAGCAGTCAAACTGTCACAGCAGATTTACCACCATTTGCAAGCCATTGTAGTATTGGCTCCCTATTCACACATCACTTAAATGGTGGCAAATGCTGTCAAACTGAGTGGGGAGGACAGTGTGTGGTGTATGTCTCCAGTGGAACACAACTAATATCAAAGGATAACTGTGGCTGTTTGCAACTGGGTTTTATTTTTGTATTTTCTGCCATCATGCCAATCAATTTCACTTCATTGCACAGAAACTGGCTTCTAAGTTTGCAGCGAATTCTGTGAATACTGCCCCATTGAACGCACACAGCCAGTAGAGCCAAGAAAGGAAAGCTTGTAGGCACCACAAGAAAAGTATTCATGGAGTTTTGTCAGCTAAAATGTTGTGGTAATTGTTCAGTAACAGTGACAGATGTGTTAACTGGAGTGTTATCTCCCTTTCAGCAGTGTTTTTACCTTTTTTAGTCAGTATCATGTTGCAAAATACCAAGTCTAGTATTGGAAATAAATTGAATTATTCTTTAACCTGTGAGCTACATATAAAACCTCAAGAGTGAAAAATATATCTGTGTGTGACCTTCATGACTGTAAGTCAATTTGGTAATAATTAACCTGTGTAAATGTGATAGAGGACACATGCAAAGTAGAGATGATGCATGTTCACCTGAACTATGGGGAGTATGCTCAGCAGCGGGGAACTCTTGTTCTCATCCATAGGGGCTGGAGCAACAAAACTGAAGCCTTTGAAGAGCTGGTGGGCGTTTGCACTGGGAGGGATACCTGGGGAGTCTAAATATACAAAGATAATTAATAAAATAGACATACAAACACCCACTGAAAATTTGGAGTTGTTTTTTGGATTCAGTGCTCAGTTGCAGTTTCCATGGCTGCAGGAGTGGCTGTTGCTTTTAAGCTCAAAATCATGTTAACAGAACATGTGTGTAGGTGTAGATTTACCTTTAGGCGTTTTAGCGGTGAACTCTGGGTCGAAGCAGAACGTGTCATCTGGTTTACCTGCTGCGGGCTTGAATGGGGGCTGGAGTTCTCTCCTGTACAGTTTCTGAATAAACATGGGTGCACACACACACACAACAAACACACACACACACGTTAGAAATCAAACCCTTCCACAGGCTGTTTGGATTGTGTGAACATATGTGATAGCGAAGCCGAGACCCCTCCCAGATTAACCCCCTCCCATTCCTCTACAGCCTGGTTCAGCCAATAGCATCCTGCTGGCTCTTAAACATTCACGCAGGGCTATTAGTGCACACACAGTGAGAACTGGCCTTCTGCCCAGACACACACAAACATAGTTGGCGTGGCCAAGACTGATGGCCAGTAGTCACCAAGCCAACCGTTTGTTAGGTGTGAATCCTCAACAGAAGCTGGAGAGTTACGTGTGGGTATGTGTGGGTCTGTGAGAAATGAGAGGGTTGTGCGTGTGCTCACATTCCAGTCGATGGTGGAAAAGAAAGCGTGGCGTTTGATCTCCTCCACTCCGTCGGGTCCGGCCCCTACAGACACAGATCACTCAGGTTCAGTTAACCTGGCACGTTTGATTTTTATTGTTTTCAAAGGATCAACACATTCACACATTTTTCTCTCAGCGGTTTTCAGCATGTGATTAAAGTGGATGCCAAAATGTTAACAAGCTCCAGCTAAGCGAGTGGCGCAATGTGAGGATCAACACCTCATTTTCTTTTATTCAAACAAGTCTACATACGCTCACATGCAATCAGCTTTAATGCACCTTACCTAGTCTGTTAGCAGGGTTACGTTTAAACAGCATTCTTAGCAAACTCTGGGCTTCCAAACTTAGGAACTGGGGCATTCCCAACTTAGCTCTGGAGGGCAGAGAAGAGCAGAGAGCCACAGGTGAATATAATAAAAGAAAAGCTACAGTTGGTCATTACTTACATATCAAAACTTGTCCTACTCCTGTCATGCTTTGATTGTCTTAATCATGCAGTGCATAATGACTCACTTGAGAATCATGTTCATGGTCTCATTGCGGTCTTTCCCTTGGAATGGTAATGTCCCCGTTAGCATCTCAAACTGCGAACACACAATGACAGACAGAGAATGTAATTAACTGGATTTTTCAGTTCATACAAAATATCAAAGCACAAAATATAAGTGTGTAAGTTTGAGTGAGCTTGTGTACCATAAGTACTCCCAGAGACCACCAGTCCGCACTCTGTGTGTGTCCTCTCCTGTTGACCACCTCAGGGGCCATATACTCCACCGTACCACAGAAGGAATAAGCCTTCTTATCAGCATCTACTGACTCTTTACTCAAGCCAAAGTCTGCACAACAGCCATGCAAAGCAAAAAGGTAAGATACACAGCTGACTGAGCAGTCGCATCCAGTAATTATGCTATGCAAAACTTTTATTCTTTTAAAATCAGTTTAAGGACAAAAAAGAGGTCATAAATCTGTTCTTAGTAAATTAATATTTCATATGAAACAGTTTAATTACAGGCTGTTAACTAGAACAAGCTATTCAATTACTCTCTTGAATTAAAATATACTTTTAACAATTAAAAAAGTAAGTCAAACATTGCATGTACATTACAAATAATTAGCATTAAGTCAATACGTACCTGTTAACTTTATGTGTCCAGCTTCATCAAGTAAGATGCTGAAAGACAACAACAGTTTTTCCATGGAGGTGAGCTTCAAACAATTTTTCACAACAAAGTATTAAAGTAATAACAGTATTCAAGTCATCTCATGCCTTTGTTTTCTGCTTAAAATCACCTAGAAGTCTTGGGAATTTTTTTGCAAAACTATTAGAGTACTCCATTCAAAGCCACACTGGACACATCCAGTCACAGCTTCTGTTTGAAATTATTCAGACTGTGAAAAATGTGTTAGTTGGTATGGGTCTGTGTGACAATATACGTTTAGTGAAGTTATGGTCTGAAACGGCAGGTGAAACATAAATAGGAGGGAGCAGCCACACAAGGTGAAGGTCAAGTCCTGTTCTATGTGATGTAAGAACCGAGTTGTGTGTAAAGTACAGAAAAACACTACAACACATTCATCCTCAAGAGAACTGGATGATGATGATGACTTCAATTGGATGGAGTTAACAGGGTCATTCTGAACATCAGTCAATAGAGAAATAAACACACATTTTCCTTTAGATGATGACAAACAGAAGTTCGATGAACTTTAGTCAGCTATTTGTCACATAAGATTTAATGTCTCTTCACAAAATCTGATATAAAATCCACGTTAGCATTAATGTTAGCATCTCAGTGTTTTATGCTGTGTCTGTGTTCTATGGCTAATATGTTAATTCTTTTGAAGCATAATTTCCTCTTCGTAACACAGGACAATAATTTAGATTTTGGGTCTTTGAGAACTGCACACATAAAGTCAAAGACTCCTCCCAGTCATTCTCCATTTTATTATAATCAGTGTAGAAATGGAGGATAGAAAAGGGAATGGATTGGACATGAATATCTAATGGTTCAAAAACAACGTCTGAATAGAAACAGTTTTAATTTGAAATCAAAGTAATGTCTGACAAGTAAATCAACTTTTTGAGATCATTAGTAATGCCTCTTGGACAAGCACTTGCACAGAGCCATACAGCATATATGAGCAAGTCAAAACATCATCTGTGGTTTTTTACTTGTGAGAACAAATATCTTTAAAAGGAACCAAACACAGTTTACAGCTGTACAGATCCTTCCTGAGTCAGAAGATGAGTGTGGGGTTTGTGTGTGAAAGGTCAAAGGTGAGGATGAGGTCTAGGATTCATACTTCTCTGGCTTGAGATCTCTGTAAACTATGCCCAGGTTGTGCAGATGGTCGAGGGCCAGGGCCAGCTCTGCAAGGTAGAATTTCACATCTTCCTCTGTAAACATAACCTGATAAGAACTGGACAAATTTACTCTCTGAACTCAGAAGAGGAGAGAAATTCAGAAGCAAAGAAAAAAAAACACACATCTTCAATGTTAAGCTTCAATAACCACAAACAGAGAGAACAGAGTATTATTATTGTCACAATATCAACATTTCAAAAAGGTTACACAATTCAGCAAGCTGTTGATTTGACATTGCCAGCAGCTATCACTTTGGTTCTGAGACATGCTTTCAACACAAGGTCTTTCTAGAGAACAATCACACATTGTTTGAGTTCCCTGAAAGCATTTGAAAAGAGCTGATCTGAGCCTCTAACTGACAAGCAACTGATGATCTAAAAGCGAATAAAGATTCCAAGAAAAGCACTCGTGTTTCCATGAGGAATTCAAGTCATAATTTGAACAGCAAACAGAACACAGTAAAGACTAATGACTTGGCAGCACTTATGCTATTATAAAATGAATAAAGAAATTTTGCATACTAAATTTGCACCTGTTCCATTTGTAGCTGTCAACTTAAAAAATCCTTAGGGCTTTTAAAAAGAACATTGTGGCATATGTAGTTTAGATTCTCACAAATGTGTTTAAAACACTAGGGGTCGGGGGGGGGGGGGGGGGGAGACCTCCAAATTCATGAATAAAAAGGACATGCTGTACTTTTCTTTTCAGACAGAACAAATGGAAAAGGTGCAAAGAGTATAATGAGATGTAATATTAGGCAACAGGACGTCAGCTTACCTCTTTGGATAAGCGAGTGAATACATCCCCTCCCCTGAGAAAGTCCAGTATTAAATACAATTTCCCTTCTGTCTGAAAGGCTGGGAGACAAGGAAACAAGTAAATTACCTGCAAGCTAATCATATTGTGATTTCAACAGAAACCGAGACAAAACAAGTGTTTCGGTAACAGGGTGACGCATGTAAACACTGTAACTCACTTAGAAAAGCAGCAGCTTGCCAACATTAACAACAGTCACATTGAAATGATATGAAAAAGTCAGATATTGTCTTGATCCCTTATGTTTAATCATTGTTTCTATTGTGGCAATCTTGTCTGTTAAAAACTGGAAGTAAACATGACTCATTAAGAACAATTCCAGTTCAATTCATTATGTAATACCACTCAAAATATTCTTATAAAATCATATTAACAATGATGTTTCCGACTGGAACATGAACATGCACATAAGCAGCTTATCCCTGATTCAACCTGAACTGGGATGTAATCTGTATGATTATTTATAAACCGCCTGCATGCTATGTAAATAATGTTCCTCTTACCGTAGTGCAATTTCACTATGAAGGGATGATTGACTTCCACTAAAATGTCTCTTTCCATCTTAGTGCGAACTCTGTCCCTGACTGGAGAGACAGAACAGGAAGGGACAGTGAGAGGGAGAAATTCAACACTGAGGACAGAACATACTGGGCATTTTGCACTGAGGTGATTTGTGTGGATGTAGATCGAAAACAAAGTTGCGTTACCTTTCAAAGATGCCTTTTTTAGAACTTTCATTGCATATAACTGACCAGCATCTGGACCCAGGATCTTCCTGACAAGAAATACCTGAGAGAACAGGAGGTATTTAGAGAGGTACAAACTCCTACATGATGGAAACATTTGACTGGTCTGCTGCGTTCCCTCACCTTGCCAAAAGAGCCCTGGCCGAGGACTTTGAGCAGTTCAAACTGAGATGGATCAGCTTTCTCACAGCCCTCTTTCACGTGGTGAGTGATAGGAATCTCCTTATATGTCCCTTCATCCTACACAAACAGTATCAGTATGAGAGAGACACACGAGACTGTAGGTATTGCATCCCACACAAACACACACACACACACACACACACATGCTCCAAGACCTGAAGCCCATCATTACTTACACAGTGTGAGAAAGACTCTCCCTCCTCCATGGGCTCGTCCATGATCTGATGCCCATTGACCTGCAGCCAAACCAACAAGTTTCATCAGAGGAGTCGGGAACAGTAAACACTTTCACAAAGCTTGTTCATCCTTGTTTTCAGCTGAGCAGGACTATGACTGCAGCTGCTGCACGCCCACATGTATGATGAAGGATTCAACAGATGAAATCAATGAGTCACATGCAATAACAGTGCGCTCTCACTTTTCCCAACTGCAGCTCTATTTGTTGTCAAACAGTATGGAGTCCATACTCTAAGCCCGTCCAGCTGTCCAGCTCTCATCCCGTCCCTATAAAGCCCCTCATTATTAGCATTCTAGTTTAATCCCCAGCCAGAGCAAAAACAACATGTCTGACTGGCTCTGAGAGGCTGATGTTTGCTAGGGCAGCAGTCAGCCTCTTGAGGACAAACTAGGGTCCAGCTCTTTCAGGACTAGTGGCTGACAGTGGCGGCAAGGCGCTTTTTTATTAAAAGACCACATATAGACATAATTAGTTCTACTCAGGCGCTTGTTGTATGCCCCTCTTGTTTATTCAAAATAGCCATACACTGTGATAATGTCAGTGGAGGTCACATATCTCAGCATCCACAAATAAATCAAACAATAAAACACACTGCTCTCACATTAACCAGGTCTACATATTTCAGTTCTGTGCTGAAGCTCAGCCTGCATGATGTATTCGGTCCACTGTGTTTGTGTGTTGAATTCCATCAAGCCTCTGAAGAGGGGGGATGAGTCATAGCTCTACGCAAGCCCACTCAGTGGGTGGAGCCACCGACATACACTCACGTACATCCTCAGAACAGAGGCCAACAAACCTCTTTCCAACAGCTTAGCTCTACAGAATAACACGGAGAACATAAACATTCAAATCAGTCAATATATAGACACTTCAAAGCAAGACCCCACACAGAAGAAATGTCAAAATGTAAGCCCTGGTGCATCTCTGAAGTATAACATCCTGGCTAGCCAAAGCCAGGGCAGTGCTTGTGTCATAATTCACACATATATTTTCACTCCCACCTTTGCTGTGGCTCATCGCGGCTTGTAACAGAGTGCAGCCTACACTTGCAGCACAACCAGGCGAGCCTTTTTCAGCCATTTGAAAACGATGGTCTGAGAGACATACATAGTATATAAACTCACAATCACTGATACCGGCATAAAATACTTATACTGCTTACATATCGTCTTCAAAGTCAAAGTGATACGAGGTGCATTAAACACCCACTCGCCCAGTTTAAGTGGCTAAGCTTAATGTTTACTTCTGTGCTTCTTATCTTGGCAGCTTTCAAATAAACCGCATTCAGTGAACTGTAGATTAAAGAGCTTATTTGTAAAAAAAAAAAAAGATGAAAAACTTTTCCAAACGTAGCAACATTTGGTAGCAAAAACCATTCATGAATTATTCAACATTTCCAATGCCGCCTACATAAAATAGAATTAGGTACTTCAACGAGATATAAAAGATTGGGAATGTTGTGGCACAGGAGGGGAGAGTCAAGTTCAACTAATAATGGATGGACTGGCTCAGAAGTGTGTGTTGCAATAGCTTTTCTGCTCGCTTTAAAACAGCCACAGCAGTCAGACAGACAGTTTGTACTGTAGGTGTGAAAGACTGCAAAGAATCCCGGAGATGGAAAAGGTTTAGGATGTCAGGATCTCTGCAGCACATGAAGAAAGAAAGAAAAAAGAAATCTCATCATGGGGGCCACATGTTACAGAAAGCTGAACCTTTTAACAGCATTTGGAGAAGTCTTTTAAAAAAGTATGACTGGTTTTTATTCATTAAAAAAAAGGTCTGAAGATAATAAGGTAGCCTATGATTAATAGAAAGGGTTTATACTCCACTAAAGAGTCCCCTGTTGTTTGTGACCCTGCTCGACAGAATATGTCGCTTTAATGATTAATCACAACTTCACTTTGATAAAGCAGTTAATATACTGTCAGCTATGATAGTTAGTTATTGCGTAGCTGGCTCACAAACCTAAAGTTACAGCTAATAACAACACAGATTCACTTCTGCTGCTGCCCCCCTTTTTTTTTTTTTTTTTCTGAACAAATTTAAACCCGCGTTAGCTAGGTGTTGAAATCTCTAACATAAAATATAAACGTTGCCGAAACACCTCACTGCCCCAACGACAGACACGCAAAAACCCTTCACCAGCTCTTCCATTACCGACACGGTGGAGGTTGAATGGAAACTTGTGTCCCAAGTTTTGGAGCCTGCAAGCTGTCAGCTAGCGTGCTAACTACGAGCTAATGCTACACGCGCTAGGCTAACTCCTCTCGAGAAGTGTAAATAACAACAAAAACAAGCTAAGAGGAGGCCGTGTGTGTCACCGGGTAAACAGCTCGTCCCGTGTGTGGAACAAAACGAGCGGCGGCGACAGCACCCGGACGGGCGGCCACCAAAAAAAACACCCCCCCTTCTTCCAACAAACACCAAAAAACAGAGCCACAAAAATAAACACCTAACCAGCTGTTAGCACGAGCTAGCGTGTTAGCATGCATCACGGTGCTTCTGCAGGGTCGTGACGCGAAATTTAAGCTCTAAACTCCCCCCCCTCCAAAAAAAAAAGACAAGCAAAAAAACACACAAAAAATAAAAGCAACCTTAAGCTTAAATCTCTATGCAAAAAAATAAATAAAACCACGCTTTTATCCACTCACCTCACTACTAACGCTGTTTACCTCCATCTTGTGCCAGGATTGCTCTCCGAGTCTAAGGCATCGTAGTCGACCTAGACCCCCGCTCCACGTTGCATGTCTTCCCCCAGAGTCTGTGTGGAAGTCCGGCTCTTCTGCTTTGATGATCCGACGCGAGCTGTGTTGCTACGGACCGCTATCGGGATGTGGAGGGGAGAGGGGGGGGGAGAGGGAGAGGAAGAGAGGAAGAGGTGGTGGTGGTGG